AAAAAAAAAAAAAAATTCTACAGTTCTAGTCTTCTAATTCAGTTAAGACAGAGAAGAGGGCATAAGAGGAAACACTTCTGACCTCAGTCCTGTCTCCTACCTGAATGTTGAGCTCTCCCACTTCCAAAGGGTCACAGCCGAGATTAAAAGCCAATGTGGCAGGCACGAGCGCCAGTCCGTCAGCCAGGTGCTCTCTTAGCTGCCCAGAGCCAGGTCCCAGCCTCTCAGAGAGGTCCCAGGGAGGTTCTAGGACCTGCACTGTGACCAAGTGTGGCTGGGAAGTATTTGATGGCTCCCCGGCCCGGGCCACCCATACCCATTCTCCCTGGAAGAGGCCGAGGCCACGAAGACAACTCCGGCTCACTCCCAGTGAATCTCCAGTTCCTCCTAGAACTCCTTGGAGTCGCCGGACTGTGCCAGAAACCGCAAATGAGGACACCATGGGTGGAGGTGGGGGCCGGCTGCGGTCCCCACTCTCCGAGCACTGTCTGGTCCGCACGCGTAGCTCAGTCACAGCCAGCCGAGTTCCTGGGCCCAGCAGCCCTTGCAACGCCGGCCGCGTCTCCAGGACCCGCGGTCCAGGCACTGGCAGGGCCTCTCCGCGCCTCACCAGCAGCTGTCCGACTCGCTGTCCGAGCGCGGGCCCCGGCGAGGTGCCAAGGAGCGCCCAGCCCAGCGCCGGGGGGCGCCGCACTGGCCGCGCCCGTACCCGCGCACCGGAACCCAGAGCTAGGAGCCGCAGCAGCGCGCGGCTAACCAGCAGCTCCGGGGGCCCGGGACCTTGCTCCTCGGTCCCCGCGCCCGGCCCATCTAGAGCCGCCACTAGCAGCGCTGGCCCTGCTGGACTCTCCCCTGCAGGCCGCAGGGCCAGCACCATGCCCAGCCCCGCCGCCGGCCACGGGCCCCCAGGCGGCAGCAGCACTGCCAACGGGGGCGTCTCGGTCGGAAAAGGTTCCAGAAGCCGCAAGACAGCCAACGCCATGTTGACAGGAGACCAACGAGACAGGTAAAGGAATACCGCTTCCGGAGCCAGCTAGCGGGACTATTCCAAGGAGGGAGCGCCGTTTCCGCTTCCGTCAGTGGAGGTGTGAAGAAAAATGGGAGGAGCGATGGGTGCGACGCGCATGCTTAGAGAGGATGCGCTGCTCCTGGGATTGATCTGGACCGTTCCTCGAAGGCAGTAACCACAATGACTGCGATTGCTTAGCCTTTAAGCATGCGCCCTTTGAACCTGTGTTTACAGGGCTTTGCCTTCTTTTCAATGGGAGTATGGCCTCTCAACTATCTTGCCCAGGAGCATGTACTTACCAGTTTATTGACTGATGTACGAGCAGTCAGTTTGGCCCAGACAGCGGGGCCCAGTGCTGGGATATGGGAGTGGAATGTTTAGGAAGGAGTTGATTCCTGCGTGGAACTCTGACGTTTCCACTATGGAACTATGTGCACTGAGTTTTGAGGGTTGTAGGGAAGATTGCAGGAGGGAGTGGTAGGATTAGAACGCTGTCTCAGACTTGCTGATGGTATAGTGGCTGCTGATTGAATTACTACATGTGATTCATATAAATGGAGTGCTCGGTGCTGTCACACCTGTTCTAGCACATCCTACACAAAACCCACGTTCCAGTGCTTCTTGTCCTGTTCATTGTCGTGTTCGTTCTGCTCCCACCAAGAATCAAAGACAAAGCAGCTTCTCCCTCTCATCTCCTCTTCCCCTCAATTCTTGCAAACTGGAGACTTACCCACTGTTTCTATCCTGGAGGGGGGCAGGGTCTCTGTCATAAGCAGCAAACCAACAGCCTGCTTCATACCTGTGCTGTTACTTAAATTCCATCCTTGTCTCCACCTCCACTGCTCTATACAACACTCAGACAGTTGTAGGCCACATTTCCAATTATTAACAATTACTTTCAGCCGGGCAAGGTGGCTTACGCCTGTAATCCTAGCACTCTGAGAGGCCAAGGCAGGTGGATGGCCTGAACTCAGGAGTTTGAGACCAGCCTGAGCAAGAGAGAAGCCCCATCTTTACCAAAAATAGAAAACTTAGCCAGATGTTGTGGCAGGTGCTCTGTAGTTCCAGCTACCAGGGAGGCTGAGGCAGGAGGATCTCTTGAGCCCAGGAGTTTGAGGTTGCTGTGAGCTAGGCTGATGCTATGGCACTCCAGCCTAGGCAACAGAGTGAGATTCTGTCTCAAAACAAAACAATGAATTATTTTCGTTTACAATCAATGGACTGGATGGTGGCACTCTCCTCTTTCTGGACTCTGCATTCTCTTCCAGCTACTGCCCACCTTTCTCCTTTCCTTCACAGCTGTGTCTTAAGGCGATCTCTTATGTTGTGTGTTATAGATCCCTGAAAAATTTGCAAGTGAAGTGTCTACCAGTTGAATGTTAGATTTACAGGGCAGTGCCTGTGGCTCAAAGGAATAGGGCAATGGCCCCATATGCTGGAGGTGATGGGTTCAAACCCAGTCCCAGCCAAAAACTGCAAAATAAAATAAAATGAGATTTACATACTTTAAGGTATTTCTTTTTTTTTCTTTCTTTCTTTCTTTTTTTTTAGAGAGACAAGATTTCACTATATCCAGGCAGGATGTGAACTCCTGGCTCAGGTGATCCTCTCATCCTGGGCTCTGAGTAGTTGGGACTACAGGAGTGAAAATGCACACCTGGTTCTGTGGCATGGTACTTCTATTCTCAGAAAGACAGGAAATATTTGAGTTTTTTGTTTTTGTTTTTGTTTTTAATTTCTTTCTTTCTGAGTCTCACTATGTTGCCCTGGGTAGAGTGTCATGGCATCACAGCTCACAGCAACATCAAATTCTAGGGTTTAAGAGATCCTCTTGCTTTAGCCTCCCAAGTAGCTGGGACTATAGGCAGCTGCCACAATGCCCGGCTATTTTTTGGTTGCAGTTGCCATTGTTGTTTAGCAGGCCTGGGCCAGGCTCGAACCTGCCACCTTTGCTGTATGTGGCCGGCGCTCTACTCACTGAGCTACAGGCGCCAAGCCAGTTTTTTGGGGGTTTTTTTTGAGGCAGAGTTTCACTTTGTTATCCTTGGTAGAGTGCTGTGGTGTCCTGCTCACAGCAACCTCAAACTCTTGGGCTCAAGCGATTCTCTTGCCTCCATATCCCAAGTAGTTGATATTGCAGGCGCCCACCACAACACCCATCTATTTTTAGAGATGAGGTCTCTTGCTCAGGCTGGTCTCAAACATGTGCTCAGGCAATCCACCCACCTTGGCCTCCTGAGTGTTGGGATTATAGGTGTGAGCCACCATGCCCAGCTGACAGGAAAATATTTTTTTTTTTTTTTTTTTTGAGACGGAGCCTCAAGCTATCCCCCTGGGTAGAGTGCCATGGCATCACAGCTCATAGCAACCTCCAACTCCTGGGCTCAAGCGAGTCTCCTGCCTCCGCCTCCCAAGTAGCTGGGACCACAGGCGCCCGCCACAACGCCTGGCCATTTTTTGGTTGCAGCCATCATTGTTGTTTGGTGGGCCCGGGCTGGGGATACGAACCCGCCACCTTAGGTGTATGTGGCTGGCGCCTTAGCCGCTTGAGCCACAGGCGCCGAGCCAGGAAAATATTTTTAAATGTCTGATTATAGGCCAGGTGTGGTGGCTCACACTTTGTAATCCCAGCATTCTGGGAGGCCAAGGCAGGTAGGTTACTTGAGTTCAAGAGTTCAAGACCAACCTGAGCAAGAGTGAGACTCTATCTCTACGAAAAATAGAAAACTGGCCAGATGTGATGGAGAACACCTGTAGTCCCAGCTACTTAGGAGGCTGAGGCCAGAGGATCACTTGAGCCCAAGAGTTGAGGTTGTTGTGAGCTATTACACCAGGGCATTCTACCCAGGGTGACAGAGTGAGACCGTCTCAAAAACAAACAAACAAGAAACAAAACAGTTTTTTCTCTTCCGGTCTTAGGCACTAAGGCAGTTGCGGGTTGTGGTGCAGACATGGCCAAGTCCAAGAACCACACCACACACAACCAGTCCCGGAAGTGGCACAGAAATGGCATCAAGAAGCCCCGATCGCAAAGATATGAATCTCTTAAGGGGGTAGATCCCAAGTTTCTGAGGAACATGCACTTTGCCAAGAAGCACAATAAGAAAGGCCTGAAGAAGATGTAGGCCAACAATGCCAAGGCCGTGAGTGCACGTGCTGAAGCTATTAACGCCCTTGTAAAGCCCAAGGAGGTTAAGACCAAGATTCCAAAGGTGCCAGCTGTAAACTCAGTCGACTTGCCTACATTGCCCACCCCAAGCTTGGGAAGCGTGCTTGTGCACGCATTGCCAAGGGTCTCAGGCTCTGCTGTGCTGGCCAAAGGCCAAGGCCAAGGCCAAGGATCAAACGAAGGCCCAATCTGCTGCTTCATCTGCAGCTCCTGCTTCAGTTCCAGCTCAGGCTCCCAAAGGTGCCCAGGCCCCCACAAAGGTTTCAGAGTAGAGGCATCTGTCTGCCATGAGGACAAAAGGACTGGTGTGACCTCTAGGCTTCTGTCTATATGGGGCTGGGGTCCTTCTGTGCTATTTGTACAAATAAACCTGAGGCAGGAAAAAAAAAGAAACAAAACAAAAACCAGTGTCTGATTGTAGTTCCTGGAATTATCTCCAGTCCTAAATATGAAATTGTCCACTCCTACATCTTTAAAACAGCATGCAAAAATACACCATCTATTGGGTTCACATAGATGAAAGTTCCCATTTGGTGATACTACTATATGTAACTCTATTCCCTGCCTCCCAGAGGGAACAAAGACTGGCTAGATGATGGCATAAGTCCAAAGAGGATATGCTTAGATATGCCTTTATACAGTGGCAGGCAAAACCCTAGGCCTCAGGACTGTGGTGCTTTTGGGAATGGGTAAAGACTTCTGGTATCCTGCCTGGATTGGATCAGCACTCTTTTTTTTTTTTTTGCAGTTTTTGGCCAGGGCTGGATTTGAACCTGCCACCTCTAGCATATGGGGCTGGCACCTTACTCCTTGAGCCACAGGCGCCGCCCTGGATCAGCACTCTTACAGACACAAATAGCCATCTGTAAATAAATGTCCTTTCCTCCCAGAATTTCCCACCACTAAATAATGGTTGGCATGCAGTCCACTTTTGTTGCCTTGAAATCATCAGTAGTCACTGAAAGCCAAATACTACTTTTTTTTTTTTTTAGAGACAGTGTCTCACGTTGTTGCCCTTGGTAGAGTGCTGTTGTATCATAGCTCACAGCAACCTCCAGTTCTTGGGCTTAGCTGATTCTCTTGCCTCAGCCTCTCGAGTAGCTGGGACCACAGGCGCCCACCAGAACGCCCAGCTATTTTCTGTTGCAGTTTGACTGGGGCCGGGTTCAAACCCGCCACCCTCGATATATGGGGCCGGCGCCCTACTCTCTGAGCCACAGGCACTACCTGAAAGCCAAATACTATTTTTTTTTTTTTT